AATCCTTACAGATCTAAACCCATAACTTCAGATCTGGTCCTTTTCAATAAATTAATGGATAAAGTTTCCAACTTTATCCATTAGGACTTCACCACAAGGCAAGATATACAAACTTAATTCCATGAAGTCCATAATGAGACCAAAAATTGTGAATATGCACAAGGTAAATCCAAACATGACTACTTTCTCATTTCTCAGAAACCTAATGACCAAAAGAGAGCCATCAACAAGCTCTGGAGTTCCTCAAGCTCCCAAAGCACCTAAGAAATGGACCAAAATCCTCTAAAATGAACTCAAACTTGAAACAATAAGAATAAGGATCAAGGTATGAACTTTATACGTCAAATAACTCAGAAATCAGAAGAGTATGATGGATCCAAGCCAACTCATTGCTTCCTTGCACCAAAATGAACTTCCTTCTTCCTTAAGCTTCACCAAAATCCAAAGAATAAGCTCTAAATCAAGAAAAAAAAGCTCTCAAACATGTGTGGATGCTATGGTTTCATGTTGGAGTGTTGGAGGTTGAGGAGGATGCCCTAATCCATGAGTTAAAACCTATAAATATGAAAAAAAAACCCCTAAAAATCATGGGCTTTGCTGCAACAGCTTCCACGTCGTGGCGGCCATTAGATATGCGTTCCTTATACTCGACATGCCACGGCGCGGTCCTCCATACACCACGCCATGGAACAAGGTTTTTCCCAAAAACCTTATCTTTGATCCCTTTAAGTCCTCAACTGATTCATTTTGAAAATCGGGTGTTACAGTAAAAGCTTGAAATCATCTCAATCCCCGTCTTAATATTTGCTATTTGATGCATATTTGCTAGATGTTTTATGTTTGTTTAATAGATTTTATTTTTGGATTTGACTTAGGTATAAGGTTATTTATGATTTTTTTTCTAGGTTTAATGCATATATGTTAGTTTTTAGTTATGGATTTGTTAGATTTTTTGAGTTTGATACAAATGTTCTAGAATTTATTTTTAGGTTTTTTTTTTCAATTTTTTTTTTCTAGGTTTGATGCAATCTTTTATTTACAAATTCGACGAGGGTGACAATATATCCAATGAAGACAGAGATGGGAGATTGGTGGTGATTTTAAGGTTATCAATCAATTTAATATAGTCAACATTAATTCGAGACAAACTAAGTTCAAATTAAGCTATAACCCAAGAGTGGAGATGCAAAGTGCATATCCGGATAAACTAAAGTAAACTCGGGAGCATGAGGTCCGGAGGTAGTGCACCTGGTGGGATTAGACATCACCTTGGCAGAGTACAAAGGGCGGACCCTTGGTGGCTGTCCTACTCGCTTGTCCACGGGAGGGGACAAGGGGCCACCCTTAATATGGAGTGTAGGTCAGCACCCTAGGCTGAAACCGAATCCATATATAACAAATATAGTTGGTAGTTATTTTCCCATAAAAATGAACCCTTGTGACTATTGGAAATAGTTGTGTTTTTTCTCTACGAAAATAATTAATCTAACTTCCTCCTTCTCTATATTAATAAAGAGGTGTTCGGTTCTACATAGAAACCCATAAAAAATATATTGTTACTGTGCTAAATTTCTACAAGCAACACACACACAGAGAGAGTCATCATCGATTATGTACACATTTTCTCAACTTGTTCTCATCCAAAACAGGTTTATAACATTTAGTTAATACTGTATATGTCATTGATTAAGAAAACCAATGGTTATTGAAATAAAAGTATATTACTATGGTGGTTATAATTTGTAAGTAAACTACTTAAGATCTTGGATATATAGCAAAATGATATAAACAAGACTTATTTTAATGGAAAAAATTAATGGAAGTTATAGAAGAATTAAGGGCAGTGTAGTGTCGAAATTAGTGTATACATAAGTGTTTGTTAATATGCAGCTGTCTAAAACATTAATAAAAACTTGTTAAGAACTCCAAATATCCAAGTAATTACAATAAAACCTGCATGAAGACAAAAGGATAGAAGGGTAATGAAGTAAAATTAATCTTTGATTTGGTTGGGAGTGGAGCTGTGGCACATGGCAGTCATGTGAGGCCTCCAGTCCACATGCAATGAGAGAGTCTTTCCATGTTATTATGATCACTCATAATAATACCAGCGCCACAGCAGGATTAGGTCAAACCTCTCAACCCTTGACTAATTATCCTTTAATTAAAATTCCATAATTATGGATCTACTCTATTTTTGTCGGTCAATTATTTTTGATACTCAGAATACATTTGGCAAAACCAGTTCTTAGTCGGAAGTTAGAAGCTAATTTCAAGTTGGTAACTCAAATTTGGACGTCTGAAGGCGGGAACTAGAAGTTAGTTCTTTTTATTTGTAAATAAGTGAGTTCCTACTAATGAACAATTCTTTGTTTTTTAATTCGACTTTGTAAAGTGATTGACTGTTAGAATTATTAATTTAGAGTTATTGAGTATTTTGTAAATTGTTTTAATATTTTTGTTATATATAGTGATTATGAATAAAGAATGATATGCGAAGATAAGTTTGATTTTAAGTGATTAAAAGATTAGTCACCATTGTCATTAGAAAATTAATCTCAATATACAGTGGCTTTATAATATCATACTATTTGAGAAGATCAACCTCGGATTTTGTTAAACTATATATAACTGTGTGACATTATCATGGCAATAATTTTGCTTATTATTATATAAATATTACCGTGGTAATAATTTAGCTTCTCAATATATTAAAGTTAGTTAATTGCGGGAAATCGCTAGAAAAGTCCTAAAATTTTACCATAATTTACGAAAAAGTTTCAAACTAAAATTTGTTTACGAAAAAGCATGAATTACTGGTAAAAATGGCGATTTGACCATATTTTTCCGGTTTACCGCTTTTATTACTTACATGTTTCACTAAAGTCTCATTATTTTACCCTAATTTGCGAATAAGTCCCAAAATAAAATTTACTGATGATTTGACCATTTTCTTCATGTAACATACATTTTATCGGTTTCATTGCTGACTTAGACACCTAGTCATTAAATTAGCTGATAAGATGAATACGATGATTTATATAATGCCACATTTACTGTAAAATTTGATACCCATCTCATCGGCTCATTTATGACTATGTATCTATGTCAGCAATGAAACCAATAAAATGTGTGATTCCAAGAAAAAATGGCAGAAAATGAGTTGATGTCTGATGCGATGGATATATTGAGTTACATAAGATTAGATAGACAATTTAATATTTCTTATAAACGTAAAAAATAACACAGTTGTTGTTAGTTTATGTAATTATTGTAGTCTTCGTTGGATGCATTTTATGTTCCAAAAAGATATACAATACATCAGGATATCAAGTTTTATGCTAAGCATAACATTATATAACTCAACATATTCATCTCATCATCTCATTTAATGACTAGGTGTCCGGGTCAGCAATAAAACCTGTAAAATGTATGTTACATAGAGAAAAGAGCCAAATCATCAGTAAATTTTATTTTGGCACTTATTCGCAAATTACGGTAAAATAATGGGACTTTAGTGAAACAGGTAAGTAATAAAACCGGTAAACCGGAAAAATGGGTCAAATCGTCATTTTTACCGGTAATTCATGCTTTTTCGTAAACAAAATTTAGTTTGAGACTTTTTCGTAGATTAGGGTAAAGTTTTAGGACTTTTCTGGAGATTTCCCGAAAAACAATAGCAAGAGTTAGTATGCCTAAATGTTTCGGTTGTATGATACGAAATCGTAAAAGATTATATATTTTAGGACTACATTACAAATGTATTTTAATTATTTTAATCTATTGTTTTATTGATTAGGTTTTTTTAATAATTTAACTTTTATATATATTTTTGTCAAACTAAAAATAGATGATTTACGATAAAAACTATTAGACTAGAAGGAATGGTGTCATGTATGTTACATTGTCCCGTCACTACTTAACATGCTAGCTCAACTTTGTCACACTGCAAATTGAATTTTGACTTTCTCTATCATCTAAAAAGAGTTGCCGAGCTTGGTGTCATGTCATGGTCCAAAGACGATTTTCCAACGACATTCCACATTCCACATAAGCATGTTGATGGGCGGCACCGAGCCACCCCTCTGGCTTTCAGCCATCAACGGTTAAATAATTATGGAAAAAATATAAATATTTAATTACCGAAACTTTTGAGATTATTAAGTGTTAAAATGATTAAAATTATTGTTTTATTTTGTTTTTGTTTTTGTTTTATTTTTTATTTTATTATTATTATTATTATTTTGTATTTTATAGTATTGTTATTTATGTATAAGAAACTAAACAAACTTTATTGGTTGGATATATTTATTTTCTAATATCTAAAACTTTAGCATTCATAATAGGTTATTGAAATTTAGGTCGTCGACTTTAATGGAAGAAAAATCTATCCATCCAATTAATTTGTATATATCAATAATATAGTGCTTTAGCATCTATTGCTTGAAATCGTGAACTTGAAATCGGGAAAAGGGGCTGGCCTGAATTTATTCGCTTCATTTCTTTCCCACTCTACTCTACTCTATATAGGACAACAAATCGTCCAGGCTTTTATTACAACGTGTTTCAATTTTCAATGGTTAAAGGTATCATCATTTAACTTTTTACTTTTCATTAACTAATTATTTAGTACCCATGTCATATTAAATCTGTAACTTTTAGCTACAAATATACAGAAAAATATATGTATATATTTAATTAGTTATCAAATTAACTATCTTAATAATAATCAAAACATTATCATTTTAACTTCTTCTATTTTAAAAACTTTTTAATAACTATATTTTTACATAGGTCAGTCACCCTTTTGGTGTTAGGTTTGCATGTGCTCGTCTCATAGCATCGTGGCTCAACTGTTTCAGCTTCACCGGACACCAACGTTTTAATAATCTGACGTCCGTCCAATTCCACTTCAAAGTAACAGCTCACCGCCCCTTTTTCCTTTATATACACACACCACTCCAAACTCAAACACCATTTAACACCTCCCCCAAAAAACCATGACCACCACCCTCTCCTCCGAACCACCTCCGGTCACCTCCAGTCCCCGGATTTCCTTCTCCGCCGACTTCCTCGACGATGCAAACTTCATCTGCATTACACCACACGACAAAGAGAAAGATAAAGAGAAAGAGAGAGAAAAGGAAAAAACAAGGAACGTCGGCGAGTTTGAGTTTCTCTCCGGTGATACAAACACTCCGACGACAATGCTGACGGCGGACCAGCTGTTCTTCGAAGGGAGGCTACTACCTTTCCGACAGAAGCAATTTTGCGAGACGCTAGCGAAAATCAACCTGAAAACGGAAGGGAAACCGGAAGAGGTGAAAGAAGATAGTAGTAACAGTAACAGAATGAGTTGGTTTATCGATGAAGATCCGTCTCCGAGACCACCGAAATGTACGGTTTTATGGAAGGAGTTGTTACGGTTGAAGAAACAACGTCCGTCTTCTCTCTCGCCCTCTTCCTCTTCTTCTTCGTCTTCTTCGGCTTCCTCCATTGATGATGATTCGAAGAAAGAGAAACATCAGGTGAAGAAGGTTAAAAAGGGGCTAGAGAGAACCAGATCGGCGGGGATTAAAATCAGACCGATGATTAACGTTCCGATTTGCAGTCAAGGAGGAGGGCGGAGCAACTCTCTGCCGCCTCTTTTTGCGCTGAGGAAAAGTGGAAGCGGAGTACTGGACAGGTAGGGATAATTTTAGGTATTAATTTACTGCCTTTCGTTTATGTGTTTGGATTTTGATTGATTAATTTGGGTGTAATTTGGTTTTGATGATTCCTATTTTTCTAGTGCATAATCTTCGTATTAATGTAAATGCAGAACTATAATTAATGTCTTTTTTAATGCATTTTTTTTTTCAAGATCCAATCAGTCAGTGTTTACTTACATTAATCAATTCACAATGTGTATTAAATAATCCAAAAAAATCGATTAACAAGCTTCATAACTTATTAACACAGCTTGTGCTTGGGTAAAGAAAAAAGAATCTTGTACATTTCTTCCAAGTACATATTTTTCAAGCAATTGGTGGGACCAAAAGTTGATTACCAGGTAAAAACCTGAAAAAAAAAACAGATGATATCAGTAGGTTGAAGATGTTCATAAACAAAAAGATTCCGATAGATTTATTATTTAGAGAATCGATTCACGTTAGTTTTGAGGTTTGGAGTTATGCTGGGTTGATGGAATCGTGAAGAAAATAAATAATTCTATTTCACTGAAATGAAAAAGAAGTTTGTTTTTTCTAAAGGAATGGAATATATAATATCTGATTTTTTTTAGTTTGTTAATTTTGATTCCCTAGCTAAGATGTTTCTATAAATTCAATGTAGCCTAGTTTTTATTTACGTCCATAACAACAATCTTTTAAAAGTTTCAAGCTTTTTAACTCGATTATAATTTTATTTTTTTAAATAACTAGAAAATATCTTTTTTATTATAGTCTGAGACTTTAACGAACCTTTACTAATTTTATTTCTTATATTTTATAAATAAAAAGTTAATAAACTTTACACTTTATTTATTTTATTTTTTATTAATATAAAGTTTGACAAATTTTGCGAAGGGTTAGTGTAATAACCAACGAACCATTTAATTTTTTAAAAATATCATAGTTCAAAAAAATGATATACGAAAGTAAGAAACTGAAATATTATGTAACAAAATAGAGTTTTGATATATATAGAAAAAGTAAATAAATCATTGTCTATTTATTATACTAACACCCTTTTAGTAAATAGGGTATACTCGTATAAAGTTGAATCAAACAATTATAGTATTATAATATGACAACTTGTAAGTCGTCATTACAAACTAAACATGATCTTAGAATCTAATAATACATTTCATTATCTTGTTTATATTCTGTTCTTTTTCTATTAGTTATCTTTTTCATTTTATTCCTTTAAAATACCATTCCATGCAACCGAGTTAACATATGTTCAATTTTAACCCTGTATCCAAAAACCATACCTGAAGTTCAAACCGGGTTTCGTTGTGAGTCCGCGTGGAACTTGACCACTGAAATTATTATTTTCCAAGAACCTAAAATAATAAAGAAACATATATTAGAAAATAGAAACAATTAACATTAAATAAATTATTTGTTAAAAAATAAAAAGCACAAAAGAAGACGATTGCAATATGACCCACAATAAAAGCAAATTGATGTAACATTAACTTCATACGGATGGTAGTACTATAAGAGATAAACTTACAGTTCACGCAGCCTGTCAATATTTTCCAAAGACGAGGGGATCGGTCCATTGAGATGATTGTCCTCCAAATGTCTGTTTCAAAGAGAAAAAAGGGTAAAAAATAAAACTCATTCATTTGTACCATATGGATATATTCGATGAATGATTATAATGGGCTCCATTTTTTTAACTTCAACCCTTCTCAATATCAATCAATTTTCTCATAAATTCACGCTAAACCCATATAAACGTACTTGTACTTTTCATCATGATTTTACGTTCAAATGTAACTTGTGGCTAATCTAAAATACCAGCAATAATACTCAAAGACATTGATTGATTTTAATTCTTGCATACTTCTTGTCTCGTTGACATTAAAAAAACTAAACCTAAAAATAATGAAGAATATGTTGTAGTTATTAGGCTATTTTTTATGTCTTCTTTTGAAGAGTGTCTTGCAAAAACTTACATGGTTTTTAACATCTTCAAGGTACTAAAATCAGGAATAGATCCCGACAGGCTATTGTTTCCAAGCCATCTGCCATAACCAAAATTAAAAAAATAATAATAAAAAATTAAACTCGTACGTTTTGGATATTGGTCTTTAGAAATAGGGGAGGATTTTTATAGATACATGAGGGGCTTACAAGTCATTTAACGCAGTCAAGTTTACAATGTTGGGAGAGAGAGATCCGGAAAGGTTGATGCTTGTAAGGTTTCTGAAAAGAAAGAGAAAAGACAAGGAGTCAAACTACACGATTTTACAGATTACATGTTGTTATTGACTTATTATGAGTAGAATCTATAATGATGTGATGGACTCACATTCCAGTCACACGAACATTAGATCCATTAGAGCATGTAATTCCAGTCCATGCGTTCTCCCGGGGTAAACAGGGATCGCCATTCCAATCAAATGGAGGATTTTGAAATCCGTCCTTCAAACTCTTCAATCCAATCACTATAAAACAAGAAATTAAAATAAACTTGTATTCTTTCAGCAGTATGCCAAGAAGATAATGAAATTAGGGCAAAGAACCAGACCATCTCTCGTTTGAGTTCTTCCACCAAATGGTAGCACTTCAAAGATTTCTCCACCGTTAATCAAAGGGGCAAGAGTAGAACCAGGAGCAGGAGTTAGTATGATCTTTGTAGGACCAGAAAGCTGCCATCGGTTAGCAAACAAAGCAACGCCTGTCTGAGGAACCTTTAGATCACTATAATATGTAATACCGTTAATGGTGATGTTGAAAACCCTAGAAGTCCCGGTGTCATCTGCAAAGTAGAGAGCGATGTAGTAGGTCGAGAGCTGGAGAGGTGAAAGAGGCCATTGAAGCTCCAAGGGTTGTGGTTGGCCGACTGTGAACTGTGTCTCAAACACTTTCCGTGGAGGGAGGTTCCAGAAACCAGTAATGGATACGTTTTCTCCCCTTGAAGATGTTGGATTGTTTACACCATATGGCTCCCAATAACGATCAAATTGATCATCCGGGTATCTGAAGTTACAATCAATCTGTTAGATTTAGTATGTATGCTACAAAAATCTTCACATAATTATGATAATTTCATGGCATCACAATCAAAAGCATGTAACTGGATCTATCGGAGTCGTTTTTATTCTTATTTGATAAGTTATCAATCTACTTTTCAATTCAGAATGAAGACAACCAAGACTAGAACATCTAGTTTAATTACTGGAATTGATTGATGAGAATTGGTGGCCATACCTTATTATGGGTCCATTGTATCCAAAGCTATGCCTCGCAACCAATCTAAGACTAAAATTCCCAAAATCCGTCGAATTATACAAGGAATCAGCCAATAATACGAATTCCAAAGCGGATATAAAGGGATCAGACTCAGTATACGTATTGGAAGCGAGGCAGAGGCTCATTGACTTCCCGCCTGCACGGAATACCCCTTCGTAATACGACGCTGATCGATTGGCGTAATCTTCAGTCGTATTCACCACACTCCAGAAGGTTCCATCAACAATCTGATCAAACACCGGAGGCGAAGCTTGATTGTTCACTCCGCCATAGTAATACGTCGTCCGAACAAGATACTTGGCGGTGCGGTAAACCGGCACGACGTAGCAAAATTTTCTGCGGCGTGAGTTGTTATCAAGGAGGGGAAACGATCGAAGGGTGGAGAGAGTATGAGAGAGGTTCGTTTGCGTGAGGGGTTTGGAGGTGCCGGTGGAAATATAAGCGGTGTCTGGAACCCATTGTCGATTGTCGATCACAGAAGCGACGGTGGCGCCGCAGTCGATGAGTAGAGCCCTGGGTGGTTGGGAGAGGGAAAAGGGGATGAGAGAGAGGGTGAGGAGAAGAGGGAAAAGGTAGAGGAGCATGGTTGAATTGTGAAGTTGGTGAAGGTGATTGGAGAAGGAATCGACGCGGTTAATTGCAACGATGACGACAAACAGCGGCAACTTTGTTATTTAAATATTTATATTATTTGTTTCCTTGAGCAAAAGCGGCAAATTTCGTTTCCAACAAATGTGATAAAAATTTGGTATAGAGTTGACTGCAAATGGTTGGTATACTTCAAAAAGGGTACGATGAACAAAAATTGAACCAATAAAATAAAAACCGCAAGAACAGTAACCAAAAAACCGAAACCGACGCAAAAACCGATGGTGCGGATTTTATTTTTTTGAAAAACCGAATTTATTGATGCGGTGCGGTTTTTATCTAGAAACCGAACCACCAAAACCGAACCGCACCGCAAACTTAGTAACAATAAAATAAATCACTAATATATATTATAGAATTATACATATTATTTAAAAAACTAATAAAGTCTAATTTATACATACATTATATATTGAACTTGACGGTAATTAGTAATTAGGTATTAAGTTTAATATGTGAGTTTGTCACTTTGTGTTTATAACTTAATGATTATGTGTAAAGTGTAAACACTATGTGGGCTACAACTTACAAGCTTGTAACTTCTAAGCGCAAATTGAATAGAAAAAATAAGTTTGGGAATATGAGTTGCAAATGAAGTGATCAAGTAAACAACATAAAAAACTCAAAATTACAGCTTCTAAATGTGAAGAAACGAAATGACACCATGACATACAATTATAAATCTTCACATGAACATCACGGTTAAAAATATCGTACCGGTGAAATTAAAAAACTGCACCATATGTTTGACTTGGTTTAAAATCGACACTAAACCGGTACAAACCGAAACCGCACTCAAAAACCGCAAAACCGAACCATTGAAAAACCGCAAAACCGAACCATTGAAAAACCGCACCCAACGGTTTCTAGAATTCAAAAACCGCACATTGCGGTTTGCGGTTCGGTTTGGCCCTAAAACCGCACCATGATCACCCCTAAAGAAGGGTGTTGCTAATAAGACACCTCATTGACCGCTTTATAAAAAATCAACGTATAATTAACTACTTATAATCAACTTTTTCGGAAGACAATACAATTTCAACCAATAAAAATATTTTAAAATTAAATTAGGGTGTCTATATGGTAAAATGTGGTGTCTTATTAGCCAACCCCTTCAAGAATCTTTCCACTTGTAAACATAGTCATTTTGGTTGTGAACTTAATGTGGACTTACTCATAGGTGTTTGAGATTATTTTTGAAATGATTTTTTTTGCTTTTAACTTTTCCAAAAAATAAAAAAATGCCAAAAGATGTTTATAAAATATAAAAGTTCTTTTCAAAATAATTTTTTGTAAAGAAAAAAAAAAAGATTTGAGTTTTCAAAAATGAGAACATGACTTGTGACTTTTATTTTTTGAAAA